TACAATTAAATATGATTATGACCTAAGTTTAAGACATTATTATGTAKATGTACCTATAATGTACAATTTATGTATATGCAATATGCCTTAAGTATTAAGCTATAATAATTAGCTATAAAATCTAATAAAAAAATATATAATATATATTTATTATTTATACATAGGAACAWTAAAAACGGAGATTTAATTTAGTTACCTAATTATTAATTAGATTGAATCGAATATAACATATTTTGTCTATTGTTTGTAGGAATCAATGAAATCGAATTGCCACCCGTGGAACCTTTCAGGATGGATTCGTTGAGTTTAGCAATTACTGGTGGATCTAATGGCTACAAAATCACTTTGAGAGATATTGATTTGTTTGGAGCCAGCAATTTTTCCATTCAAAAAGTGTTGTAAGTYGAACTATTGCAGTGTTAGKCTATGTAGGCTCCCTACATCATATTTTTCGCCCTGGTACAGAACTAAGTCCGGATCACTTTTAAATAACAATTAATGTTGAAACATTTTTCTAATATATATTGAAGTAATTATTTGTACAAACACCGGGTACCTCGAAAGTCCAGGTCTGAGTACCATGGGTAATTCTTACCCGCTGTCCTCATTGTGTGGCCCCGAGTGTATAATTAAAATAAAGTATCCTTATAAAGTTGGAAAAATATAGAAAAAGACGTAGTGCGGCAAAAATCACGATCAACAATATTTTTTTCAATCAAAAAATACTGGTTCAGCCTAACTTGCAAATAATATGTATTAAAACGTCTTTAAATATAGAGGCTATCACACTGTCTCTAATTAGTACTTTTTTTTTTTGTGAAACGATTTATCATTGAACTAAAAATTAACCCACTCATTACTTTATTAGTTCTCAATGCCTACCCAAAGTCTGTATAATAGTCTGYAAGTAGCAAAGCGATTTACTGGATTTTTTTTGATTTTATTTGACCATGATTTTAGTTCATTTATTATCAAAGTTTAACAATTGGACAATTAAATAATATGAAAAAAAAAAAATGAAGTTCGATGATATTTTTGAACAATAGTTTTTATGTAGTATAATAGTATTTTATTTCAACAGTCATTCTCGTTTGCTTGAYCTTTACATCAACCTGTTCATAACTGCAGTGTAATTGTTATATTATTTTAAATTTTTAAAAATTTCAACCATGGTTTTTATTACTTACTAGCACTAGTGTTGTTCTGTTGCTATAATTTTGAAACTATATACATTAATTTATATATTATTTATAAAAATAATAAGCAACTAATTGGCTGTAAATTAGTAATTGATATTGTAAATTCAGATGATTAGTTTATAGTTTTTATAACTTGGTTCAATTTAAGCACATAATATACATTAAAAACTGAAATTGATATTATATTATGAAAGAAGAAATCGCCTTATTAACATATTAANCTTTACATCAACCTGTTCATAACTGCAGTGTAATTGTTATATTATTTTAAATTTTTAAAAATTTCAACCATGGTTTTTATTACTTACTAGCACTAGTGTTGTTCTGTTGCTATAATTTTGAAACTATATACATTAATTTATATATTATTTATAAAAATAATAAGCAACTAATTGGCTGTAAATTAGTAATTGATATTGTAAATTCAGATGATTAGTTTATAGTTTTTATAACTTGGTTCAATTTAAGCACATAATATACATTAAAAACTGAAATTGATATTATATTATGAAAGAAGAAATCGCCTTATTAACATATTAAMTCACAGTAGATTAGATCTAGGAACTTAAAATTTTGTTCAAAGATTCCTTGTATAAATTAGATAAAAACAAAGAAGGAGTCTTGGAAATTCATCCMGTAAGACTGATATGGAAAATTTTGTCACGGGTTGGCTGTGGATCCACATATGACATATCCAATCATTGTGTAGTTTTTTTTTAATTTACTGCAGAACACACTTCTGGACAGGGTTTAAGCATTGTTTTATAGATAAAATACCTGTCYCTAGGAGYATCATATCCGTGTTACCATCTTCCAATTCTTACGGCGAGATTTAAAAAAGATTTTAACCATTTATTTGACCTAATTAAAATTGGTGTTGTTTACATTTGCTGTTTATTTTCCGGTCGGAGATACATTCAWATCAATTTACTCATATAATTACAATTAAATCGAAATACACCATCATCTACCGTTCGATCGACTACCTCAGTTGGATTTCTTCATTAAGCGAGTAAACCTACATGGACATAACCTGTAAACTGATATACATAGACTTAAACCAAATAGCACAGCCCAAGTTTGTTAATTTATTCCCTGATAAAATYGGGTGTACGTAATATACGCTTTTATATAAATAAACAGTAATAAGTTTCATTCAGTTATATGACTTTCATTTTTAATTACTCATTGACTTCATCGAAAAAATTAAATTTTTACAACATTACGTTTTACAAGGTCATTTACGTATATCATTTTTAAATATACATATCCACAAGTATATAAATATAATATCATTATATGCATTGAAATTTTGCTACCAAAACAATTAACGAAAGAACAATTAATTAATTCTCACGTTTTTTTCGATTTTAAATTATTACATTGATACTATTGCATTTAAAGTATGTATTTAATTTGATTTTAAAATAAACTTTGCAGTATATAATAATATAATGAAGGCGTGATGTATATGCAATTTCACTACTGCCACGCTATGGTAGACCAGCAAATGTTTTTACGATTTAGTAGGCGCACAAATAATGGTTCAATAAACCAACAATT